AAACCTGAAGTATGGTGTCTTGAGAGCTCCCAAGAGGTTTAGAAGAAAAGGTCTTGTACAGAGAACGAGGGTTGCTGGGTCAGTCCTGGCACTGGTTTAGCCACTTTGGACTGACCCTTGCAAGTCACTTAAGTCTCCCTGGGCTGCAAGATGCAGTGTCCAAGTGGGCAAAGTTCAGAACCGAGAGTCGGAAAGCCTGGGTTTGAGTCACAGCTTTGTCATTTTTGACTATGTGACTGGAAAAGAATTTAATATTGGGGGGCTTGTTTCCTTATCTATAAAATGGAGGAAACAATATACTTAGTTCATAGGATTGTTGTGAGGGACCAATGAGGACGAACATAAAAAGCGCTCTGCAAACTGCAAAGGGCCATAGCCCAGTTGGCCTTTGCCATCCCTTCCCCCCTTTATCAACGCCCCACACAACACCGGGAGAATAATGAGAGCCGGGAAGGCATTTATTACAGAAAGTCCGAAGTACTACTTCACAATTCGCAGTAGCAAGTAAGAACATACTTCAATTCTGTTGATAAAGGCAGACATAAACTAATCGGAAAGCCAGCCTCATCTGGGAAATGTAGACAACATCGACCATCTACACTCAAAGAAGACAGGTATTCTAGAGGGGGTTGGGTTTGGGTAGCTTGGAGGAGAGGGTGCCACACAAAATATTTTGCTCCGTTATGGGGTGGGGGGGGGCAGGCACCCTCTCGTTTAAGAGGGGTAGGATGATGGAAAGGATCACACAAGAAGGAGAGCGTTCCGTTTGAGCTACAATCTGATTTCGCTGTTGAGTACAATGTCCCCTTCACCAGAATCTGAAGTCAGGGTGGACGGCGGGGCAGCAGTTTTCCACCCAGCAACAGGATGATGTCAGCGGCCAGGAGAGCAGCCAATCAGCAGGCAGAATGAATCAGAGCGTGCTGGGATTTCGCTCAACGGTTTCCTAGCAAAGCAAACTCAGCTCTGAAGTGCAGAGGCTATTTGCACTTCCTCTGCACTTGAAGCTGAGGCTGAATGGCTCCTTAGCTGAAAGGGTACCAATGGGTGTGCAAGCAGTTAAGATTATTTGCATCCAAACAGTCGGTCCTATTGGTGATGAGTGCTATCGAGGCAGGGTTTTTTTTGCCTCAAAAATTTCGGCATCAATAAATATTTTAAATGCTTGATTCATACGTTGTGCCTTATGATTGTCTGAAACCTGTTTTGTGCATTATATGCTGCTGCGCAGCTCTTGGCACTTATATAAAGAGCAATACTGCACCTTAAAGGGTTTGAACTTGCTTCTGGTGTTTCAAGTCTTCTCTCTCGTGACGAGCAGTCTGGAAGCCAACAGCTGTTTCATTTCTGGGTCAAAGGCTCCAGTTCTCCAATTTCACTAAAATGTGTTTTGTGAATGCTTTAAAAATAAGTCTAAGTGGGAAGGTTCTGATGTGACTTGTAGATACTGCTTCATGCTGGGGGAGGGTAGACCTCTGTAGTAGTTCTAAAACCACGCTGTAATCTTCTGACATGTTGCCGGGTTTTCGGACCTTAGTAGACAGTGGCAGCCGTACCGGAAAAGGGCACAAAGGGTTAAACCTCCCTACCCGGCATTGGCATCCACTCCATTACCCTTCCCCAGGCGGGATCCTCGCCTATCTGGCCTGACCAGGGGGCCACAGACAGTCGGTCTCTCCCGCGAGCGAGTGCTGAAAACATCTTCCCCAAAGAACAAAAAGATATAACAAAGAGGGAGTGATTTTCCATCACGTCTTCTTGCAGAGCGGTTGGTAGAGCTCAGGAAGCACCACAGACCAGGATGTATTAGCCCGGACCTGCAACCTCCCTCTCTGACAGCTTGCCTCTTGGCTCAATGCCCCCTTCTCCTTGTTCCTGAAGTGAAGACAGAGTTTACAAGAGCTAGCTAATCTGCGCTAGAGACAGGCCACTCTGAAATGCCGAGGGGACTGAATTTGGGAATATACTGTAAGAGGAAGCAGAATTAATACGTTCGAAGGCTGATAATGTGCTGGAGGAGGGCGTGCAGGCTCGCCCCGGGTTTGAATCCCAAGCCTCGCGACCTACCAGCTCTGCCCCTTGAGCCAGATCTCCGTTCCCCAGGTGCAGACCGGAGCAATGCTTAGCTCCAAGGATGCCTGTGAAGATGAAGAGAAGCAATCTCTCATCTGGTACGGGCAAAACACAGTGTCGCCCCTCAGTAATTCATAGACCCTTCACTCCCTTTAAACTGGAAATAAACAACTTGTTGGCAAATAGAAATCCCAGAGGGACCCGCTTTCACCACCATCGAAGGGCTTGTAATTAGCATGTAAAAGGATTGCTTCCAAGCCTTGAAAGCAGGTTGTCCTTTACAGTCTCTTAGGCCGACTTGAGAAGCCTTGTTTACACTCTAGCATTAATTTGCTCAGCAAATCCTTACTGCCAGGGCAAAATTAAATTTTGTTCAGGCTCTGTTTGAATGACCCCAAGCTCCACATGAAGGTTTCACTTTTCTGGGAGCCTTGGGAGGAATGCTGTGGGCCTTCGAATTCTTCTATAAAGCCCTGGCACTCTTCACAAGAAAGATGTAACTCAGAAGTCTCTGGACTCATCTGTTCTCATCCTTCCCCTTCTTCATCTGATCATCCTTCAAGGGGCCGTGCTTCTGGTGCCCAGAGGGGTTGAGAAAGGCTTTCTGCAGACTGGGCAGACTGGGAGTCTGTGGGGATGTGAAAGCCCCAGGGCAGGTTAGAGGTCAGAGCAGCTGTGGTGCCCAGAGGAGGCGGGAGGAAGTGGGGGGAGTGCATTTCCCGGGTGAGACCAAATCAGCTATTTTAGACGCTCGTTCCTCATTAGTCAGCAGTTTGAGAAGACTACAGGATCGTAACATTCTATTCTTTCCACGGGGTCTTTCTCCTGAAAAATGCATTTGCTATGGAAGATAAAATGTCATAAATTCTCTGTCCATCCAAGGCTTTGCACCATGGAGAAGGAATTGAGGAGCTGCCTTCTTTCCACTTTACAGACAGATAATAAACTGATAGCTTGTGACCAAGCTCGGGGACCTGTGAGAGATCACTCCGCACTAGGACAGCGGGATGCAGATGCTGAGTGGGGAGACCCCGAAAGGGAGTCTGAGATCCCCTCACGCTTCCTCCGTTAATCCAGTCACTTTGAATCCGAGCGGATTTACCTTGACTAGAGTCAAGACCCGCCTATTTTTGAATGACGAGACCTCCACAAATAGGTGTATAGGTCCTAATAGATCTTTACCTGTATTTAGACAAGGGAAACCAATTTATTCCAAGAGAATGCTGTTTCGTGTCAGAACAACTTGATACGGTGTTATGGGTTGAATTGAATTGTGTCCTCCCCCGCCCTCCACCCCAATCCCCACTGAAAACAAAGATTGAATGGAACCCTAAATACCTAAGGACCCCCAAGTACCTCAGAATGTGAACTTCTTTGAGAATAGATTGATTGCAGGTGTAATTAGTAAGATGAGCTCCTACTGGAGTAGTGTGGGTCCCTTACCAAATACAACTGGTAGTCTTCTAAGATGACAGTGTGAGGACAGACACAGATTGGGAGAATGCCATGTGAAGACGATCCACAAGCCAAGAAACTCCAAAGATTGGCAGCAAACTGCCAGCAGTTAGGAGGAGGCAAGGAAGGGTTCCCCCAGAGGTTTGAGAGGAGTCATCGTCCTGCTGACACCTGGATGTTAGATGTGAGTCTCCAAGACTGTGAGGCAAGGCATTTCTGTTGTTTTAAGCAGCCGCCTAATTTGTGATATTTTGTTAATAGCGGCCCCGAGAAACTAGTGTGTATGGCAATTACCAAAATCCCTGGTGTCTCTTCAGAGCAGGTAAAGTTGGCAGTGATGTGATCTTGGACAGGTGACCTGACCTCTCTGGTAGAAGGTTTTCTTATCTGTGAAATAGGGCTAGAGCAGGTGACTCCAGAGAATCTAAAAATGCTTCGAGATGATGCAGTTTTCTCCCGATATTTTATAGCTTTTCTTCCTCCCATCTAGTTCTTGAATCCTTCCCCAGCTCTCCATCTGTACTTGCCCTTGAGGTTCAGGACCCAGTTATTTCTTGACCGGAAACTTGCAAAACTGGGCTCCCCTACAACCTATATATATATATATATAACACGAGTGCCTGAGGGATCTTTGTAGACACAGATCTGAAAACAACAACCCCCTACATTCCGCTTCTACAGCCCAATGCTGCCCACAGAATACTGTGGAAACTTTTCAGCTTGGCGTGAGGCTCTTCACATCGGGACTGAGCCCCCCCGCTTCAGGCCGGCCTCTGCCCACCCCCTGCAAGTTCCCCTCATCCCCACACTTCATCTATTCTAGCCACACTACTGTCTCCTAACCAAGCCTTGAACTTCCCTCTTCTAAAATGGTACACCCATCGATTCCCGCTACTGTTTTATTTCCCACAAGACAACGTGGCTTTTTCACCGTTTTTTCTCCACCACCTAGCACTTTCCTTAGCATGGAGTAAGAGCTTGATGAGTATGAATTGAAGGAAGGAATCTTTTATTCTTTGCGACCCATTTCAAAGAGTTTTTTAAGCTATGTGAATACCTGAATTAGGAGCTCCCTCAGAGCCCCCAACGTGTGCCACCAATATGTTACACTCGTCCCCGCTTATCTGCAGTTTCTCCCACGGTCTCAGTTACCCATCGTCACACAGCCCCCTAGAAGCTGATGATCTCCTGACCGGCCACCAGCAGTAGCCTAAAGCTCTGTCACAATACCGGCGTCACTCACTTCCTCTCCTCACGCAGGCGTCCTAGCATCTCCCGTCTTCTCAAGAAGGAGGGGGAGTGGGGCGCCTGGGTGGTTCAGTTGGTTAAGCAACTGCCTTCGGCTCAGGTCATGATCCTGGAGTCCCTGGATCGAGTCCCACATCGGGCTCCCTGCTCGGCAGGGAGTCTGCTTCTCCCTCTGACCCTCCCCCCCTCATGTGTTCTCTCTCATTCTCTCTCTCTCAAATAAATAAATAAAATCTTTAAAAAAAAAAAAAAAGAAGGAGGGGGAGTATAGCACAGTAGGCTATTTTAGGGCAGGCCACAGTTACATAACTTTTATTACACTACATTGTTACAGTTGTCCTATTTTATTATGAGTGTTTGCTGTTACTCTTGTACTGTGCCTACTTTATGAAGTCAACTTTCTTGCAGGTTCTGTGTGGACAGGAGAGAGCGCAGTGTACGTAGGTTTCATTAGTCTCCGCGGTTTCAGGCATCCACGGTGGGGGGTCTCGGGCGCGGCTCCTGCCACTAAGCGGGGGGACCACTCTATGTCACTTCTCTATGAATCCTCTCCGCTCCATTCGTGGCGCTTCGCACACGAGTACTGAATGAATCCTTGTGCAGTAAAGGGACAGATAAATAATGGATTTATTTATTATTACTCTGTTTGTGTGCCGTTTTTGTTTAATTAGTGTGAAACTCTCTGAATCATCTGCAGGAAGTGGAAAGGTTTAGCCCCAATTTGATCAACTTTTCTTATTTCAGCGGATTGCGGCCAGAGCGGTTTAGTTCAGTTGGCCGAAACCTGTGCCAATGATTGGCTTCCTATAGAGTCCTGCCCTTTTTGGGGGTTAGGCACAGTCAGCTCCCAAACCCCAGATAGCCCTGGGAAGTAGAGCAGGGCAGGCGCCCCCCCCCCCCCCACATGACAAGGGGACAGAGTGAACGAGTGTGAGGGGTCGGCACAGACTCACCATGAGAGTCAGCAGCTGGGGCTGGATGGTGACTAGAAATGAGCTCCATGCGATGTGCGCCCCTCCTTTGGGATGTGTCTCTGCTTTGGTACGCCCCCTTTCCTTCTTCTCCGTGCCTAAGTTTGGCCAAACAAGGCCCTGGGTGGGTGTGGAGGAAGCGAAGCCTCCTGGGAAGTGACGCACAGACTCCTCTCCTTTCCTGGCTGGTCTTATGGCAACAGGGTCTCAGTGCAAGGCATCACTGCGAGGCTTAGTTATACCCACAGGCTGGGAGAAGCATCTTTTGGATTGTGATGCTAGACAGAAAAATAGACAGACAGAGATGATATAAAGTGAATGTGTCTGACGTATACCTATATGTGTACATGATTAAAGTGAATTGTAACAACTCTGCAGGGTAGATATTATCGTGGTTTTCCAGATACGGACACTGAGGTCATATGTTCAGGTCACACAGCGAGTGAGTGGCAAAGACAAGAATTTAAGTCCCGTCTGTTTGACTCCCAGACTTTGCTCCTTCCCAGTCCATTGTAAGCTATCAGGTTAATAAGTTAATTAAATAAACAACACTTATTTAACGCCTACTGTATGCCAGTTCCAGTTGAGGTTCTAGGGGTGACGTGGCGAACAAGACAGTGAAGGCTAGAGTGTAATTGGCAGCCTCAGAGACCGCCCCTAACGACCTCCACTTCCTGGTAGTCACGTCCTCCTGTGATCACTTGAGTGGGCGCTGGACCCAGCGACTCACTTCTAACTGATAGAATATGGCAGAGAGGAAGGGGTGTCATTTCTGAGAATAGTTTACAAAAATGTTTTTTAAAGTACTTTGAAGTACTTTACGCATATGGGATTCAGTGAGATACCCATGTTACTTAAGTAACATTACTAAGGTAATTTACATTCAGTTATGTTAACCAGCAATTAGCCCTAGAGACAAACCTGGGATTTTAAAAATATTTTGTAAAAAGAAGAACACCAACTGTTGATACTGCATGTGTTTAGCTTCCGAGAGACCAACAGATTTTATACCTTCTGCCCAATTTTGTTTAACGTCTCTGTCCAGGTCATCCCAAGCCCTCGGTTGGGCTCATTTTGAGGTTCTCCAATAACCCAGACTTCTGAGAGCTAGATGTATTAAAAGCCTGACCTTGACTTTTATGGGTACTAAAAGGCAACATTAAGGCTTTCTGGGAGTATTTTTGCATTTTCTCAAGCTATAAAGAAATATGAGATAAGAAATTTCTTCAATTAAAACAGGCCTGAACAAGAGTTTAAAAATTAAACATTTAAGAATAATAAATATACAAAAGAGGTATAACCTCACTAAAAGTCAAAAAATACATATAAAGGAGACAATGAAATAGAATTTTTCACCTTTCAAATTGGAAAATATGATCCTTCAGACATATAGGATTCAGCAAAATGCAGTCTCAGGCAGCTTACATAGGAGAAATTATTGGAACAACCTTTCAAGTGAAGCAGTTGTCCACATGTGTTAAGATTCTTAACCATATTCCACGCTGTTGACCCAGTAACACCACAGGACAGGAGTCCCTCAGCTGCAGCTGGTGCATCGTGGAGATTTAGTATTGGTGGGACTAATTAATTAATTAAATCGGATCCAATCCTAACAGAGCCTAAAAAGTCATACTGTTAAATGTATAAAGATGTTTATGGAAGCATTTACTTTAACAAGGGAAATGGAGACAGCCTGAATCCCTAAAATAGAGGTTTGATTAAACAAATTAAAGAATATCCATTTGGTGAAATATTTTTCTGCTCTTAAGATGATACTTTAGGGGGCGCCTGGGTGGCTCAGTCCCTTAAACGTCTGCCTTCGGCTCAGGTCATGATCCCAGGTGGGATTGAGTCTTGAATCAGGCTTCCTGTTCCATAGGGAGTCTGCTTCTCCCTCTGCCTCTGCCCCTCCACCTGCCTGTGCTCTCTCTGTCAAATAAATAAATAAAATCTTTTAAAAAAAGAGAATTCAGGGGTGCCTGGGTGGCTCAGTCGTTAAGCGGCTGCCCTCGGCTCAGGTCATGATCCCAGGGTTCTGGGATCGAGTCCCGCATTGGACTCCCTCCTCCACGGGAAGCCTGCTTCTCCCTCTCCCACTCCCCCTGCTGTGTTCCCTCTCTCACTGTCTCTCTCTCTGTCAAAATAAATAAATAAAAATTTTTAATAAAAAAAATAAATAAAAATAAAAATAAGAGAATTCATTTTTAAATGTCAAATCTGTTCCTCCTCTTCTTCCAAATCTCCTTATCTAAGTCAATGCTATGCTTTTTGCCCAGTAATCCCTTTCTCACCCATGTGATTCCTCTCTCCTCCCCTCCACTTGCTAGTAGGCTCCAAGTTTCCAATCTCCCTGGGAGTGTCTCCCACACCGGCCTCCCCCAATCTCTCAGTCTGTGTGTGTGTCAAATAAATAAATACGACCTTTAAAAAAAAAAAAAAGATGAGACTTCAGAAGAAATTTTAGTCACAAAGCACAACATGGACAAAGATTGAGATACTGGGCTGCGTATACCGTGATCTTCAATCTGCCTATTAAGAAGGCAAAGACCTAGCTATGCATATGAAAAAATCATTGACAAGAAATACTTCAAAATGTAAATAGTGGTTGTCTCATAAGTGACTTGTTTCCCTCTTTATTGATTCTATAGTAAAAAAAAATTTCTACAATGAACTTGATTTACATTTAGAGTTAGGAAAATAACAGTACAAATATTTGAACAATAATTTTTCAAATCTAAGCCTACAAAACTTAGACCACTAAACTATGAGTATATATCAAGCCAAAAGTTTCCAGTAAAACAAGCAAGTTAGCAACACTTCTGGTTTTCCCCAAATATTTAGAACCATGCTATTTTTTCTCCTTTTATTGCTTTTAAACCAGGTAAATCAATTTGGGTAAGCCTACCATGTGGAAGAATGGTGCTGAGCATATTCTCTAGAACCAGGCTTTGCTAGTTTACATCCAGGCTCTGACATGTGATAGCTGAGTGAGCTTTGGCAAATTATTTAACCTTGTGGAGTCTCAGTTTCTTCATCTGTAAAATGTAAATATTAATAGTATCTATTTCATAGGATGATTGCATGTATTAAGTGAGAATAATATATGGAAAGCACTTAAAACCATGCCTGGGATGTGGTGAGTGGTACTCGTGTTTGCTATTGTCGTTGTGTGATTTCTAACCAAGTAGAGTTCTGTTTATTTTCAAAGGTTTGGAATCTAAACTCTCTCCCTTCTCTTCATAAACCAAGAGGAGCACCTCGACAGTAAGCTTTGGTATTATTTGGATATCTATGTATGCGTGATTTATAGAAGAAATGACACAGATGATGAATTGAAAGAATTTAGATGAACCGAATCTTAAATGTCATGGCCTTTGAAAGCAAGCACTTGGAAATGTACTTTATTATGGGCACGTGGAGTTCTCTTGCCTTTGAATTGTCCAAAATAATCTTAAGCTCTCCATTCACAGAGGAATTCTCTCAATTTTAATGGAGGAACTGAGAAAGTTTGGGAGCTTCGGCCCCTGGGAAATAGAAGGGTCTCTTGCTTTGAACACTGAGCAGACATTTGAGGTCTAGATCCTGTTGTTCCTCCACCAGGAAGTCTCTCTGGGTCTGCTCAGCAAGACCAATTCATCCGTCTACGGAAGTCCCTGAGCCCTTTTGCTAGAGCCCTTTGGTGACTTTCTGCTTCTCTCTTGCCTTATGGTTATTGCTTCTGTGTGTCAACATAGATCTTAAATTTCATGCTGATTTTTCAGCTACACCTGGCATAGTAGAACCTCATTTTTTTTTTAATGAATTAAGTAATAAATCACATAGATATTTTGAGCTGGCTCAAGATCTGAAAGATGCCACTTTTAGAGCCAAAGATCCGGAGGTATAGAGAGAAGAACCATAATTTGTAAAATTTGTCAAATGCATAATAGGCAAGAGAGAAGCAAATGTATAATAGTCCCTACATAATTTGTAATTTATAATCAAGCTTTAATGCTCAGAAGTTGTACAATCTTGGGAACTTTCTAACCTTTCTGATAATCATTGTCCTTATAACTATGAGGATAACAAGCCCCATCTCATGGAACTGAAAATTGGATACAGAGACATAATTAACTTGCAAGTGGTTGTCACTCAATAACACGAGTGAAAAAAAGTTGCTCAAAGCCACATAGCTTGGCAGCTGCTGAAGCCACTGCACTGTACCCTCTTCTTTCCCTTTCTTTGACCAACTGTTGGGCTTCCCCAAATACTGTGGTTGTCTGTGAGGATCTCTTATAGGAGGAGAGGAAGGAGAGGAAGTAAGATTTGTTGAGAGTCAGCTATGTACCAGACAACTTCACCCAGAGATTTACCTACAGCCTTTCAAGCTACTCCTGATGGCCAAGCCCATGGAAATGGGTTGAAAAGTCAAATGAGTGGACTTTATATTCTTATGTTTCAGGCATTCTTGAGTGTTTTCTTGAAACCTTGCTTACTTTATTCCCCTTAATTCAGACCCCAAGATATCTGGGGATAGCAGATCAGATCACTGGATGGAAGCTCTGGGAAGTGAGAGTAACATTCACCCATGTGGGATGATTGGGACTTCTGGTTACTTGAAACACCCTCCATTATGAAGTTTGCAGAGCTAAAAGGCTAAATTGAGTTACTCACAGTCCTACTGTGAGTCCTGCAAATGTTTCAAGCAGCATAATCACCTATAGTGCTAGATAATGTACCATGGCCCACTACCTGGCAAGCACTCACCACTGGCCCATCAGTGGCTTTTAACAATTACAGACAACCCCTGGGGCACCTGGGTGGCTCAGTCGGTTAAGTATCTGCCTTTGGCTCAGGTCATGATCTCGGGGTCCTGGGATCGAGCCCCACGTTGTCAGGCTCCGCACTCGGCGGGGGGTCTGCTTCTTCCTCTGACCCTCCCTCCTCTCGTGCTCTCTCTCAAATAAATAAGTAAAATATTTAAAAAAATTATAGACAAACCCTGCCTCTAAAAGACAAGAATTTTTAAGCAAGAGTAAAAACAATGCATCTCAGATATAATCTAACTCTTTTGATCTGTGTTTTACAAAAAAGTACAACCCAACGAGTGGATTTTCCTTTTTGGAGGAAAGAAATATTAGTGAGGACCTACCATGTATCAACACTGTGTTGGGTGCTCTGCCAGGTTATCCTAGTTTTCCTTCACAGAGTCAAACCAAATAACATCATTCCTATTATAAAGCAAATGTAAAGCAGTTTGTTTATGGGCAAGATGTCCCACGCAACACAGGTCTCAAGTAGGAAGGAATCAAACTTTTTTTTTTTTTTAATCTGCAGGGTCAATGTTCTTTTGGGCACACTATCCATCTCATATTCAATTATCTTCAGAGTGATTTAACAAAGTAAACAACTTATTTATTAAGTTCATTCAACAGACATTTGTTGAACAAGGAGTGGTTCTAGACATGGAGTAGTCAGTAGAGATATACATTTGAAAGGCAGTCTTTTTTCTCAGGAGGTTCACTCTGCAGTGCCTTATTTTAAGGACTGTATGAATCTGTCTCTAAGATCAACTGATTCTCTTTCAATCTGGTTAACAAAGGGATGATACTGAATAAATCACACTAAATCTCAGTAGTGAGAATCTTTAGAATGCAATTTACATGTTAATCATTGACTCAGTGTGTGGAGAATGGAAACATTGTAAGTAGTTAGCACTGTTAGGTATGAGGGGTGTGGCAATCTTGCCTGGAGGTTAAGTTGTCTCTCCGTGTGACATCGTGAACCCCAAGATGGCTGCTCTCCTAATAACATGACCTTAGGAGAATGGAACTGCTAGAATCATGTTTTTCTAAATGTAGCAATGGAACTTGTTGAAATTCATGGAGAAAATGTTGATAATGTATATCAAAAGAGGTGTGCGAAGTTTTGGCAGTGAAGTGTGGTTTCAGGGATACTGTACCTGGTTGAAGACCAACAAATGCAAACTCTGGGTTACGGGGTTTACTCTGTTGGTACTGAGACTCTTGCACAAAGTTTATGATGGTATAACACAGTGGTTGGTAGATAGCATGTTTTTGGAGACAGGTAGAGTGGGGTTCAAATTCCAGCTTTCTCATTAACTGATGCTCTTGTGCTCGTGTAGGTTACTTAGCCTTCGTGAGTCATGGTTTCTTCAAATGTAATAACAGTCCCTACTTCCTAGCATTGTTGTGAGGATAAAATGAAATGTTTTCTGTTAAACACTTAGCAGAGTGTCCAACAAATAGTAAATAATAAATGGCACTCATTTAAAATAAGTATTAGCTAATGGGGAATTTGGTATCGGAATAATGAAGAGGTGCAATACTTTCTTGTCTTGTGCTAACAATGGATGAAAACATATGTACATATCCTGTGTCCTTCCTTTTAAACAAATCTGGAAATTATTCATATAGAATGTGAGCTCCACAAGGACGGGGACTTTGTCTAGTCACCTCTCTGTCCCCTGTACCTAGAACAGTATCTGGCCCATAGTGGGCAGTTGATAAATATTTGTGGAATGAATGAATTCACTCACCCTTTAGTGTCCACTGTTAAGTTCTGTAAACGTTGTGAGAGACACAAAGACAGCACAGGTTTCTCTCCTGAGTATATCGTACTGAATTAGGGGAGAGAAATGTATCCACAGAAGATGGTATTGCAGGTAATTCTCTGAACAAAGTAAGGACTCCAAGCTGAGAGTTCAGAGGAGGAAGAGGGATATGGGAGGATAAGAGAAATGCTGCCAGGAGGAGTTGTATTTGAACTGAGCTTAAATCGATAGGGGGAATTTTGACAAGGAGAGAGAATGGGCATTGTGGGGGAGAGTAGGGAATGGAGATAGTATTCCTGGGAGGGAAACATCACAAGCAAAGGTCTGGAGGCCAGGTATGTTTGGGGACAGGGGAAGTACAATTTTACTAACAAATAGACCTGAAGGGAACTTAAGGACAGGCATTAGGTTTCTGGCACATTTTGCACAGAACTCAGAAGCCCATCCAAGGTTCAGTAAACAAGCTGTGAGTCACTGCAATGGAGGGTGGGAAATGAGCATCCAGAAGGCCCAGTGAGAAGATTTTTAGCCACAGGAAGGAGAGGCCTCGGCTGTGGAATTAGCTACAGACAAGGATGAAGCATGGGATTGATTAGAGTGTTGTTTGCAAACCTACCCACCAGCAGTGTCTGGGAGGATTAGAAATTTTGAACCCTGGGTTTATTGGCTTGGGACTAGCCTGTCCCTGCACTTTGACTCTAAATAAAGGATATTGGTGTTTCCATTACATGAATCCATTTATTTGGAAGAGTGCACACTCCTGATGAACATCTGCATAACACAGAGTAGGATCTAGCAGGTGGCATGCGGCCCCATCCATACCTCCTAATTTTGGCTGTTAGAACTGATGGAAATCCTGCCTCAGTTCTGCACCACCAAAGACTACACAGAACTGAGCTGTAGTGTACAAACTTTGGATCTTTTTCAAGTGTCTGAGATTTTTTTTTTTTTAAGATTTATTTATTTATTTGAGAAAGAGAGAGAGCACACAGTGGGAAGGGCAGAGGGAGAGGAGAGACAGTCCTCAAGGAGACTCCCTGCCGAGTGCAGAGCCTGATGCAGGGCTCGATCCCTGGACCCTGAGATCATGACCTAGCCAAAACCAAGAGCCAGACACTTAACTGATTGAGCCACCCACACACCCAAAGTGTCTGAGATTTCTATAGAAGATCAACCTCCAGATAATTCCTTCCTGCCTGGATTAGAGGAGGGCAATAATAACAGTTAATCTTTATTAAGCACACATGTGTGCCAGACAGTGCTTTATCTGTTTTTTCTTTTTCTTTCCTAAGATTTTATTTTTTTAAGTAATCTCTACACCCAACATGGGGCTCAAACTTACAACCCCAAAATCAAGAGTCACGTGCTCTACCGACTGAGCCAGCCGGACACCCTACATTATTTCACTTAACTGAATCTTCAAAACAACCCAATGAGGTGACTTCTATTATCCCCACCATTTTATAATTGAGAAAATAAAGTCCTGTGAGGTTTAGATTGCCGAAGTCATAAAACACAGAGCTTGGGCTCAAAGCCAGGTCCATTGCTAAGTTAATTGCATTGTGATACAATCACAGAAAAAACTTTTTTCAAAAGATTAAAGGAAATTTGGTTTCATAGGTACAAAGAATTGAGAGAAAATCAAAACTTCCTAGAATTTAGGGATAGTCTCAGGATGTGTAAGGGGCAGAGATCAAAAGTCAGCCAGCAGAGGAGCGCCTGGGTAGTACAGTCGGTTAAGTGTCTGGCTCTTGGTTTTGGCTCAGGTCATGATCTCAGGGTCGAGGGATCGGGTCCCGCGTCAAGCCCTGCATCGGGCTCTGCGCTCAGCTGGGAGTCTGCTTGGGATTCTCTCTCTCCCTCTCCCTCTGCCCCTCCTGCTTGGGCTCTCTCTCTCTCTTTCTTTTTCTCTAAAATAAATAAATAAAGTTAACAAATGGAGTGGAGGTAAATACAAAAGTACCAGCTTCTGCTTTTTCTCCTAAGGTGACAACAGCTTCCTCCCTCCACAGTCAGTTGGAAGTGGTCGCTCCAGACTAGCTTCATGGCCTCCCTGGCAAAGGGCAGACATTTTAAATAAAATCCCCACAGTGCATCCGTCCCTTGTCTGTGGTCACAGGAGCAAGGCTGTGAGGCCGTCCTGGGTCCAAGCAGGGCTAGAATCCTGGGCAGCCACCTTGAGCAGGACTCTGTTCTCATTCTCATTAATCATTAAGCCTGGGGATTTGCAGTTACCAGACCCAATCTCCCGCCTCCCCCCCCCCCCCCCCCCCGCCACCCACTGCGGAACACAGGAGCTTACATTTCCCTTGCCACACCCAGCCTGGTACACTTTCTCGGCGTCGGTCCTGCATCCCAGCTCAGCTCTGCAGGCACCCCTGGAGCCCGGGGAAGGGAAGCGAGCCGCTCCGTGGATTCCGAGGCTCCCAGGCAACAGGAAATCCAGAAGGAAACTGAGAAGGCACAATGGAGTTGGTGCCAAGATTTCCCCTCTGGAATGAAGTCCGCCTTGTGGAGTGGAGTGGAGGCAAAACCCTCCACTCTGACAAAGGGAAATGTATCCGTCCCGTTTTATGTTGTGAGGCTGGAAATTGAGCTGGCCCCTAAAACTCTTCCCGAGTGCTCTGTGGTATCTGCTCGGCACACGCCAGGCTCTTGGTGATGTAAATTCCCCCTGGAGACTGTCTCCATTTGCAGTGGGTAGAAGCAGAAGGGGCCCCAGGCAGCTGAAGTGAACCGTGAGGGTGGAACGGACGTGTCTCAAAATGCAGACCCTGCTCAGGCACACTTGCATTTGGGGCGAAAGCAAAGAGAAGCAAAGCAGAAACCAGATCTTGGACTAATCTGCCAGCTGAGAGATGCCTCACTGGGATAAACAATTGGATAAGGGCTCAGACTCTGAGGTGCATCCAGGAATGGCAATCTGTTCATCATTCCCCTGTCTAAAATGGCTTCCCTTTGCTCTCAGAAGAGAGATGAGTATCTTTGATGTGTCTACAAGGCCCGCAATCTGGGCCTGTCCTCTCCTTCACTGGGTTGTAGCCACGCTGGCTTTATCTCAGTTCCGGGGACGTGCCAGCATGAAGCTCCACGTTATACCCAGCCTTAAGCTTGCACACGCTGCTCTCTCTTCCTGCATGTTTGTTGTCCACCCCATCCTGACCCCACCCCAGCCAAAAACACCACCACACAAAGCAAAGCAAAATAAAACACATCTCCTCTCCTCACTAGAAGAGACGAGAAGAGAACGGCCAGCTCCTTGAGAGTGCAGGGACCATGTCGTTCTTTTTCCACACTCCATCCTCATGCCTAGAATAGTGCCTGGCATGTAGTCAGTGCTCAATAAATATTTGAATGAATGAACGGAGCCAGATTGTTTCAAACAGTCACAGTTTCGTCGCAAAGTATTGTTCTGTTGGACAAACAGTAGAAACACAGAGGCTGGTGATACAGCATACTCCCACAATATATTGCAAACTAGATGCCAATCAATAAACAATTTGCACCTACAGGGTGCCAAGTGCCATGTTTAGTGCTGTCAACTTGACAGTTGAACAATTCTCTGAGTGCAAAAGCTTCTGAGAACAGCCTTAATGGGGGGGGGGGGTGCTGGTGGGGAGGAGAATCTAAGGAAAGGGCCCTGTATCGTTTCTGCCCACGAGACAGGAATTGAAATGGTCAGTGTGACATTTTTAACTCAGGCAGTGAACTAGCTTGGCTAAATTGAGTATTTCTGAGCCAACATTCATTCAGTAACAATTTGTTGAGAATTTACTAGATTGTCTTGTGAAAGAGGAGTAAATGAGGCAAGTCCGGTGGCGCGGAGAAGCTGATGGGTAAAACCACCAAAGCTCACGCTGCGGGCTCCCAGTGCTGCTGGGCAGCCTTCCCCTTCTGTTGGCAGAACGTTCCCTTTCATTCTCCTCGGCGACTTTTCCAAACCTTCGCCCTTCTCCTCAAACCCTCTACCACTGGAGGGGGTAACCCTCTGCTCTGACTCCATTCTCCCCGTCTTCAACAGATGACATCAGCTCCTACTTGAAGAAAGGTGAGGCCTTAAGGCCTGAAAGGCCTCAGCGTCCTCTGTATGACTATGTATTTATCCTCATTTCTTCCCAAGGTTATTTTCTTCTAACTTTGGAAGATTTAGAGATTTAGAGCTTGACGTTTTTGAGATTGAAAGCTACTTCTTTCATTCTGGTATCCTCTCAAACATTAGGCCCTGATCAGTTAGTAGGGCATGATGGGCAACTTGGTGGATTATGACCAGCAATTGTTACTGAAGTAAACTAGAGAAGAAAAGACAATTTCAGGGTATGTGACACATGGTAAGGACAAATATTGTCTCTGAAACTTTGTTTCACATCTATGATTGTGTGTGCACTGGGTCTTGGGTAAGAAGCATTTCTTACAGTGCGTCATGCTTATCAAGAGCATCATCCTATTCAAGGCCATGCTCCCCACCCTTTCACATTTCCACAAGAGTTCCCATTCCTTCCATCATCTGTTATCTTATCTACATATCCAACCTCTTATTTTCTTATTTTCTAGTAATTCTTAATCTTTATCTTGTAATACCCTCTAATTTCTCCAGCTTAAAACTATATTCTTCTTTGACCTAGCATTCCTTTATCTCGCTCCTCTTCTTAGTCAAGAAAACAACTTAGTCTGAACTCACTCCTCTTCGTTTTCTTCCAAACCCCACACCATTGAAACTGCTTTTTGAAATACTGTAAATGCTCTTTATGTCGCTAACGGCATGAGTATTATTTTAGGCTGAGACTAGTTGATACTTTCAACATGGTAGATTTCTTTTCCCACCATTCTTCTGCCATTCCGATCATTTCTCTGCTGCCCCTTTGAGAATTCTTCCTCCTTTTCCTGCCCCTTAAGCTTGGGTGTTCCTCAGGTTGCCAATTCACTTTCCAATCTTTTCCCTTCATATGTTTTTCTGGTCTCCTCTTCTCCCCATCAGTTGATGATCCTCAAATCTATATGCCTGGCCCATAACTCTCCTCTGAAATTTGTTTTTTTTTTTTTATCAAGATGTCTGCTAGGTTCACTCCATTCTCCCACCACACATCCCAAGCTGAGCTTGTCATTGCCTTTAAGTCTGCCGGCTCCTACTTTTCTTCCAATCAGGCTGTTCCCTGTGTCTGAAATGTTCTTCCCTGCCTTATTCACCTGGCTAATTTTCATGTGTCTTGGAAAGTCAGCTCAGGTGACATCTCTTTGAGGAAGCCAAAGTGTGCTGGAAGTTCTGTGTCACCTGTAGATCTCTAACCATTGACTACCTTGTGTATCTATCTTTCTCATTAGACTCTAAGCACTTTAAGAGCAGGGAAGTTTAAACCATTTTCACATTCCTGGTACCTAACACAAGAGTCTGGCACACTGTAAGTGCCCAATAACTATTTCTTAAAATTATTGTCATAATGGAGAACCAGAAACTATCATGTGAATTCATACTACAAACAGGAACTCAGGCGATTTTCAGTGAAGCAGATCCAGAGTCTGATGTGCCCCATCCATTAACTTTCCTGTATTGGCTGTATCATTTTTCTGCTTTTTTAATTGCTTTGTGCTGTGTCAACCTGGAGATAGATGCGAAGAGGAAATTTGATGTAAAAACCCGGGACTCAATTAGCTGTTAACTAAAACAAATGACTTAGAGATTTAGACATTACACATCTTATCTAACTAAGTTCTTGACCATCCCAAAGAGACGGAAGTCAGATGTGGCCAAGTTTGTCCAGAATCTAATTAGAGCAACTCTTTAAAATCATATCAAACCCATTATTGAATTTAAGCACATTCCTAAATTGTTACCGACACTAGTGTGTACTATTTTTCACGGCAGCCTTGTAACAGAGCTGTAGCATGTCTAATCAAACCCTATGACTCAGTTGCTATCGTGTACTTGGGTTAGCCTGAAAAGCCACTCAGAGATTCTATTTGGTCGGCTCCTCTTCTTCCTTTAATACCTTTGATCTTTGCTGTTCAGCTGTCATTCATTGTTAAAATCTAGGGAATTGAGAAGTTGGTGTTGGAGTGAGCTGGGGAACCAGGTTCAGATATATTTCTTCTCTCAGTCTCTTAGAAGTAGGGCTTGTTGGGGGGTGGGGAGAATGCAGCTAAGATTAGTCTATGTGATTATTACTATAAACTGCTTAACAAATACTTGAATTAATGAGAGCATGCTCTACTGATTTCATTAGTTCTAATAATGCACACAGTGAATAGTGATTTAATTTCTCCCACATGAGTTGATATGTGGGATCAGAGGGCCTGTGATATATTGGGAATGCCATTGTGTCATGATTCGAATTTATGGTGATTTAAATCTTTCATGTTTCCTCTGTAGCCTCATCACGATTATATGTGGGCTCAGAAATAAAAGAAGGAAAACCCCTCTGCAGTCCACTCTTTAAAAATATTAATAATTTTGCATATTAGACTCATACCGTATAGTTTACAAAGAGTTTGATACACATTATTTAATTTAATTCTCAAAATAACCGTCAGGGTTACTCTCGGTTTCTAAATGACAAAATTAAAGCTCAGAGAGGTTAGAGTGACTTGTCCAAAGTCACACGATTGGTGTCAGAGCCGCAGTCCAGTTTGAAAGCAAGAGTTTTCAGCAAAGGACTTTGGAAATTCCCTTTTAAATCTAATCCAATCAAATACTGGTTTTAGGGTAAAGTATTTTGAGCACCTAAATCTACCAACAGCTATTATGCAAGAATAGTTAGCTCTTTCTTTCTGATTTCTGGTTATCATAAAATATTTATTGAGACAGATTTCTTTTAATGCTTCAGTTCTTTCTTGACTTACTTTATAGATAGTGATAGTACATAAATGTCCTCAGTTTTACCTTTGGGGAGGTTGAAGTGAATGTTGCGTTTGCTTTGTCCCAACCCAATGATAAAAAATTTCTAATCATCTGCCTCTAGGTCCCTCATAGAGTCAAAAACTGTTAGAACTAGAAGGTGCAAGAGACCATAAAATTCCAGCTACGGCAAACCATACCATCCCTGTCTTCTTAGTCTAGTACATTTCTTTGGCACTGTGTTCACAAGGATTGTGAGACTGTGCTGAGCTCAGTGGGAATGAGAGCTATAACTGATTCACAATACCAGCTATGGGCTCATGGTTGTGCTGTGCTCATCCTCAGTTTTTCTTTCTTTTGTCACTTATCTCTACTCTGTCAGGAAGTCCTATCAGTCAAAACTCTGGATGGTTTCCCAAATCTGATTACTTTTCACCATTTCTCCTATTGGTATCTATAATGGTTAGGATATGTTACGTTATGCTGCAGTGACAAATAACCCCCAAATCTCTGTGGCTTTAAACAACAAATGTCTCCTTCTCACTTGGGCACACATCAGTTGCATATCAGCAGGGAGATCTGCTTCACTTCTTCCTCACTCCAGGCCCCTCACTGAAAAGGATACGCAATCTAGAATGTTACCAGCCACAGTTAGAGAGGCTAAGAGAGCACAGGAAGTTCTCAGCCAGCAATCAACAGCTCCAGTCTGGAAGCAATACATACCATTTCTCCCACAAATCCATTGGCCAGAACTAGTCACGTGGTACTAGCCAACTGCAAAGGGGACAAGGAAGTATAATTCTT